GTATGTGTGAGTGAGAGTGAGACTGAAGGTGGGTGAGTGAGTGTGAGCCCTGGCCTCCCTTGGCCTGTGGTATGCGGCGTCGCGCTGGGTGATGTGGTTTTGGTGGCGTATCCTGTTCGTTGGTGGCGTTTCCTGGTCGTTGCCTCCCGTTTCCTGGTCGTTGCCCGGCTTTTCCTGGTCATTGCCCGGCTTTGTGTGTATAGGGTCAATGCTGACATTGCATTATGGAGCGGATTCTGAACTTGCAAATAAGGATGCATTGACTGCCCTTTGAGTTTTTCAGAGAATTCGCACGTGATTTGGTGCAATTGATTTGCATTCGATTTACCTCGAGATATTGAGATCCAGAGCTGAAGCAGCTAGAAGGTGCACATAAAGGTTCGAAGTTACAAACAACGTCCACCGCTGGTGTGAACCACCACGTCATTCTTCCACACCTTCTGTGCACCTCTGTGCCTGCGCACCTTGCTCGGCCACCTGGGCCATGGAGACCCGGTTCTGATTTTGGATGCCTCGCATGGACGTTGATCTTACACGCTTGTTCCAACAATTGGGGATGCTGCACCGTGATCATGTCCAGCTGGGAGAGTTGCTTTTTGCATTGGACGAAGCTATGGATTCGTTGGAGCATCATGATCAATTGCCACCGGAGCAGCGTATGCTGTGGGCAATGTTTCGGGACTCCATTCTGACCATACAGAATTCCATCGGCATCATCGAATTTGTGGGCGCATCCGACATCACCAGATTCCGTGAGATGCTGGCTACCAAAAGATGGCTTCCCAATGCTGCCGCAATTTGAAGCCAAAACGGTCAAATCTGGCCATGTCAAAAAAGGGTGTCCATCTGATTTTGCAAGTGTGATTGCTGTGTTTTTCTTGTTTTTGTGAACTTTCACGACATAGTTACATATGTGTAGTTTACACTACATATACGCATATGTGTGCATGCATGATGTGTTCTCACTGCACACTCACATGATCAGTGTCGAAAAACGTTCATGAACAGTTTATACAAACTTGCAAACATTGCCCAAGGAAAACAACACGCAAAAACTCTGCAAACATTTGGCCCCTGCGACAGCAAACGCCCCTGTGGCATCAAACGCGGAGTAGTGAGTAGACAAAAAACAACTTAAACAAACGTGTAAGCTCCAGCCGTCCCTGCATAAATAAAGCAAAAAACTCGGTGAAAGCAAGGCCCCTGACACCAAACATGGAGTACACACACAAACCTTAAGCCCCAATGTGGCCCTTGAAAACTCATGCACAAAATGCAGGACGGGAAATCCAAAAGCACAGAGACAGTGGGCCAGTGGCCTAATGGTTAAGGCGTTGCAGGCACCAGGAACCTCTTGCCCTCGGCATGGGTCCAAATTGGGTGGTTCGAATCCCCCCTGGTCCATTGTTGTTTTGGCTCATATTTTTCTTTCCTTCACCATTCTCTTCCTGTCCTTTATGATTTCTTTCTGGTGCTTTGGTTGTTTTCTCCCCTTTCTTTGCTCTTTATGTTTCTCGCCTGTCCCTGGCACGCCTGGTGCCTTTCCCCGCCCTTTGCCTGTGGTATGCAGCGTCGTGCTGGGTTTATGTTTCTTGCCCATCCTGGCACGCCTGGTGCCTTTCCCCGCCCTTTGCCTGTGGCATGCGGCGTCGTGTTGGGCAATGTCGTATGGCCGTTAATCTGCAGGGGTGCTGATTCTTGCATGACACTCGCTCTGGGCCAGGGGCACAAAATTCTGAGCAGGAAGGGACACCCTTGCCGGGACAATTTCTATTTATAAACACGCTCCCTTAGGTCATCAAAGGCCTGGCTGGCAATTTACAGTCGCGCCTGCCGTTTGTGCGTCGTAGGTGGCGAAAGACAGACGGTCGTGCTTTTCACGTGCGAAGGGTGGTCGGGGAGAGTGAGTGAGTGTGAGTGGGAGTGAGAGTGAGTGTGGGTGAGAATGAGTGTGGATGAGTGAGTGTGCGTGCGCACGAGTGTGAGTGCGAGTGTGGGTGAGAGCGAGTGAGAGTCGCGGGGAGAGTGAGTGGGTGTGAGTGTGAGGAGTGTGAATGTGGGTGTGAGTGAGTGTGAGGGAGTGCAAGTGTGACAGTGAGTGTGAGTGGGAGTAGTTTGGATAAGAATGAGAGTGTGTTCTGAGAGCACAAAGTACTGCGCCTGCCACGAATCTGCACTTCGAGGTTCACCATGCCTATACCACGAAATCTGCACTTCGAGGTTCAGAAAGTGCTGCGCCTGCCACGAAATCTGCACTTCGAGGTTCACCAAGTCACCACGTGCTGTGCCTGCCACGAAATCTGCACTTCAGGGTTCAGAAAGTGCTGTGCCTGCCACGAAATCTGCACTTCGAGGTTCACCAAGTGCTGTACCTGCCACGAAATCTGCACTTCGAGGTTCACGAAGTGCTGCACCTGAAATCTGCACTTCGAGGGTCACAGAGTGCTGTGCCTGCCACGAAATCTGCAAACGAGCCACATGCCCGAAAGTCATGATTCACTGCACCTGTCACGAAATCTAAGCTCCTCGACGATCACCACCATGCCCAAAGTACTGCGCCTGCCACGAAACTGCACTTTGAAGTAAAACAGCTCCGATCCCTTGCACCTGTCACGACAAGTCGACTTTGAAGCACCAAAACACGTTTCCCTTGCGCCTGCCGCGAAAAGTGACCACCATGTGCGAAAATGCGCACGGCACCACAACGAGAGCGCAGTCGTCAGAAGCACCCGCCGCGGACACCCAGATTCAGCGAGCGTGCGCAGTTGAAATGCGCTTCGAGGATTTCGAGAGGCATGAATGCACTGTCTATAGCAACGAATTAGCCGGTCACGGCCGCGCGCTTCAGCGATCTAAGCATCAGCACCTACCGTAAGAACCCCTAGTGTGTCCACACTGCTTGGGGAAAAATTGACCCAGTCATACCCAGTCCATACCCGCAGGTTTTGCTGAGCGTTTGCTTGCGCGCATGCTTTCACCAGTAGGTTTCGGGGGTTTTTGGGGGGACCCAATGGTGGATCCATTGCCATCCATAGCAGAGACAAATGACGCGGGAGCGCTCTCAGGCCCCCACCGCGGTTGAACAGCAAAGATTGCGGCTTCGGCGCAGGCTTGCGTGCCAAGACTTCAAGACTGCCGAAACAATCCGAAACAAATCGTTGAGTAGTGCTGAGTCGATGTGTCGTGTCATATCTCGCCGGATGTGGAAACCATTTTGTGTCAACATGTTCAACAAAAACACACACATCCAAATAGAAACCGCATTTTGGTGGACAAGACGCACCACCTGAAAGGTCTCATGACTTTCCACACAAAGAGGAAAAATACTGTACTTGGTCACGTCCAGTGCATCCTAGTACACTGTAAAAAGGACCCAGGTTGTAGAAGGTCTATGTTTTCTGTGTTTATTTGTTGTTTTTTGGAACTGCCTGGTTGGCTTCGCTGTCTTCACTGGTCCAACGTGCGCCTGGAACGCGCGCGGAACGTGTTTGTTCAGGGGAGGAGCCAAATCCACCCGTCTACATTACGGAGAAGTGGGATGGAACCACCATGCAGGCAGATCTGAGTCGAACGTGATACATATTGACAATTCTCCGGATTTGTTGTGTTGTTTGGGTGAGTTGGGTGAAACTATGTGAACATTTTCAAACTTTTGGTTTGGGCTTTGGTAGCTGGTGTTTGCCACCGAAGAGGTCGACCAGGTTCTTAGACGTTTGTGTCTCAAGACTTCAACTACCCCTAAGAAGATATTAGTCTGGAGAAAGGAAGTCAAGAAACCTGTTGGTTTGGGGACACGGGAAGCAAAAATGACTGTCACAGAAGGGTTTTCGGAATGCTGCCGACGCTGGAAGCTCACCCTCACCAGAGCAGGTTTGTTGATTTTTTTGGACGTGGAATTCAATCCTGTTCCTTTAATTTGTTCGGAACCAGCGAGAAGCGGCAAAGTCTTAACGTTTTTCCAACTCGGTCCAAAGAGACTAGTTTGGCCGTCCAAGCGGTTTCTGGACCCAAAGCAGTGTTGGTGGTGTGCCTTTGTGAATTTATGATAAACTTGAATGACTTGGTTTCTTGTGTGTTGGATGTTCAAGGAAGCCCACTCTTGCAGAGTTCGGCACAGGATGATGTGTGGCACCAAAGAACACTCCACCTCCACCGGTCTCTCTCTGTTCATCGATGTCCGACTCTCTGCCTGGGTCGATCGAGGCCACGGCGCAGCACATCTTCAAGCGCATCGACCTTTGGGGGTGCGCCAACTGGCGGCGTGCGCCGCGTGCGCCGCGTGCGCCGCGGACTTGCGCTGTGACTGACCGGGGGATCGTCCGGTCGGTGGGGGAGGTTGCTGATGCGGGTTTTTCGCTGCTTGAAAACACAAGCACATGCCACAGGTAGCTTGAGCATCTTAAAGACTTTCAGGGGTGGTGGATTCATGGGACTGGAGTCTTTGTCATCTGTTTGATGCTTCTTGCGCAGAACTAAAAGATCTGTTAGAAGCCCTCAATACAACCAGCTGGACCCTCCGAAGTCGAACTTCAGACATGACTCTTTCAACAAAAAACACGGGTGCTTAATATAACTTTTAACCATATTACAGCATAATATATATTACAGTATATGGCACGTAACTGTACCAGTTGTTTACCTTTTTTTCTGAGAGACTTTAAGATTCCAGCCGAATCAGATCCAATCCTTCCATGGGCCAGGAAGCGTCGCGACGGTGATCCCAGTCAGCGCTACAGCCTTCGCTTGTTGGCCTGGAAGGACCACCAGGGACCACCAGGGACGTCTTATTCTATGGACATCTATGGACGTAAGTCCTTAGATGGGGAGTGACAGGAAAAGTTGGGCTTCTTGGGTTTGTGTGGCAAAATTGATTTCCCAGGGTCAGGGTCCGACAGTAGAAGAAAGCGGAATATGATGCTGGCTGAATCTTGAGCCCGCTGTCATGTCTATGAACTGGGCCGGACCCAAAACCTCCAAGGGGCGTGCGCTGGCAGACACCCCTTGCGCCACTAGAAGAGTTACCTGCAACATCCTGCAACCTTGGGGTCCTGGAGGGTTTAGCTTGGGCTGATGGCTGCAGGGAGCATTGTTCATGCTCCGTTTGAAGATCTCAGTACTGTAGAATAATGGATAGTTTCACTTTTGGCCATTCTGCAGGCTTTGGTTGTGGCACTTCATCAACTAGCAGTCAGTTGTCAGGATAGTTCCGATGATCTTAAGCATTGACATATTCAATCTATACTGGCAATCATGAATCACGAGGTGAGGTGATTGAGCCCATTGGAGCCCTCAAAAGGCCCTTGTCGCCCATCCTAGCCTATCTCATCGATCCTTCATAATCCCTCCTGACCGTGCGGGGAGGACGGGGACGGTGCCTGGAGGGGCTTGGACTTTTTGGAGGCGGACCAGAGACTCTTGGAGGTGGGGAGGTAGGAGGATTTTCCGGGATTGGGGCAGCGGAAAGGAAGGGCAGGAAGCGTCCAAGAATTGATAAGAATTGATGAGAATGAACATGAATGAACTAGCACATCACCTAGAATCAGTAGCAGATTACATATACGTGTTGGCCGCTTGCTGCTTGTTGTTTTTCTTGGTGTTGCTTTCATTGTTTTTTTGTTGTGTTTGTTGCCTTGTGTTGTTTTCGATGTGTTTATTTTTTTTGTGTGTGTGTTTGCTTTCGTGTGTGTAGCTTCAGGTCCCAACCTTTGGGAATCTGTGCAGGTGTTAAACAAAGTAGCCATCTCCGAGCAAGAACCCAATCACTCTGGTTCATAAAGTTATATGTTTAAACAATCCTGTAGACTACACCTTAGTACTTGGGTCACATTGATTTGGAATTCAAAACGTGTGGTTCAAGAACTTGCCTTTTGGAAGAACAAAAAGCGCAACATCTAGATCCTTGTAGAACTCCATCAAGACTCTTGCCTCCTCAAGAAGACATTCTGGCGAAACACACCCAGTCTCCAGTATCAAGTGTTGACGCAAGGGTCGCCTGACACGTGTGTCAGGCTAAGTTGAACATGCAGCTCAGCACCAATTTAAGAATCGGGTCCTCAGAAGTGACAAGTCCAATCCAATAACATCGAGTTCAAGATTCAAAGAGCCCCCAAGCCTATTTGAAGAGTATTTGAGGTGGCTGGGAACTTTTTGGGGACTGCAGAAGGATGTCCCTGGTTTTGGGCTGGGCTTTGGGGCCTTTGGGACCTCGGTGTAGATTTCCATGTAGATGTGTGGGCACTAAATAAGGCCTTTGGGTTGGTCAGCCAAGTTGTGAGAAAAATGGACTTGGGGCGCCTTTAAGAACACACATTCTGAACATGGCCATTTTTCCATTCTGCTTCCATGCATTCTGCTAGGACTCCACAGCTGATCTAGCACAGTCCTTTTCAATGTTTGCAGCCCAAAACACACACCGAAGGCAATGTTTTCAATTAATCTATTGACCAGTGACCGGCGGTCCATCGGTCAATCCTCTCTCAGCCGGTGACGCGGTCCGTCTTCGCCGTTCTAGCAGCGTCTCCAGCGCTCAGCCTCAGCCTGGTTTGAGGCTATGAGACCTCACCTTTCAAAGCTTGCTAGCTTGGATGAGGGGCCAAGACCTTGGATGCAGATCGAGGATGTGTTCGACCATGTTCGAACTGCTGGGTGAACAATCAGATTGAACATGAGAACATTGGGTTCTTGTTTCAGGATACCGTTGAATCGATTTGGGTGCAAGTGTGCTTTCTGTTCTCGTTGTGTTCTCTTTCCTTCCGAACTCTTGAAGAAAGCTCATCATGTTTGCAAGCGAGGAATACTGATGGTTGCTTCTTTGTTTCTTGTTTCTGTCCAATCCAAGAATTGTTTTCTCTCCGGGGTTTGGCTTTGTTTATCGGCGTGCTGTGGTTGATCGTGGTGGTACGTCCCACAAAAAGACAATAATAGGAACTCCAGCTCAAATATAGTATATTGTGAGGCCTACTACTGGCAGCACGACCCAAGTAGCCTTCAAAAAGAGGGTAAAAGGCTTGATTGAATGGACAATTGCTGTGAGCACACGTTGTTTCAAACTAGCTTCAAACATCCAAATGAGACGTCAAAAGAGGCAATATGGTAATATGTGTACATTACATTCGACTTTCGAAGACTCCTTCATATGAACAATCAGGCGCAAAGCACAATGTAAGCCCTTTAGCAGCTAGCAGGCACTGTTTCCTTGAAGGCCAGCGGCTAAAGGTTAAATGTCTATAGGTGTTTGTATGCAACTTGTGTAACACTAAATACAGCACCCAACAAAATGAAGCTGCCGTTTTTGAGCTTCCAGTACAAAACCAAACATGTTGCCATGTTGCTTCTGCAAAAAATGGCGCTCCATCCACTTGCGACCTTCCCCACAGATATGTTTTTGTTGGGTTGTATTTTTGGGAAGCTCTTGTCTTACTGATATTAACCACTCACTCACCTGCTGATACAGGTGTAGGGAAAGGATCCAACTTGCAACCTCTTTGCGAAGCTGAGGCTTTGCGTCTACTTCGAGGCTGCACCGTGACAGCGTCTTGTGTTCGGTGGTGATGTAGAGGTTGAAGGTACACGGAGTGGTCCTGACCAACTATGGTAGCATCTCGACCTGAAGCCCGGTGGACGCCTTTTCGAATGATGTTCTTGGATCATGGTCGATATCTAATCTGGTAGAACATGCCGCTTACTGCACTGTGCAGAAGGGTGTCAATGTTGTCTTCCTGTGCATGTTAGCACCCCTGATAGCCCTTCCACTATCTTCCACCCCAGACCGCTCCCCTACTGAAGCCAGGCTCCGCGTTTGGGTCCGGGTCGATTCAGACAGCTCCCTGATCGCTGAGCATCCGGTTGCTTCGGTGGATTGGTTCCGTGGATTCCTTCGGTCGATGAGTGGCTTGGTGCATGGAGCAGACCCCACGGACGCAGGGCCCCGTGGTTCTCATTCAAATATATGGAGCGTCTAAGACTACACCATGGTTTTAGGGTTTTCTTCAGAATGCACATGGTTGCGAATCTCACTGTATTGTTTCACTGAAGGCTCATACCCTTTTTGGGGTAACCACTCATATACTGTACTAGAATAGACCATTTGTGTATGATTTCATGCATACCACGATTTGTTTGGGGCGTGGCCATGGAGTCCCCTCAAGCACGACCCCAGTTGGTACAGTCCCCTCAGCCCCCCTCAGGCGGTCCATACCGACATCAATGCGAACTTCAAGCATTTGCCGGGAAGCTTTGCATCTTCGATGGATTCTGGGTGGACAGAGAAACCCATGTTGATAGATGTCACGTGCCCTTCCCAGGTGCAGGGAAAGCCTTTGGCCGGTATCAAGACCTGGTATTTTCTGCTTAGTGTTGTGGCTCTGAGACTGTGCCGCGGGCTCAGGGCTCGACCACTCCCTCAAACCAGATCAAACCGCACCAGCTTGGTCGTTCGGTCCGAACTTGGGGTCTTCACTTGCGCCGGGAACATGCGCCGGAGCCAGGCATGCGGTATGTGACATGCGATTTGAATCGAAATATATATGTACTATAAATAAAAGACAAAACCATCCACGGAGCTACCCTTTGTACATCCTCCAATGGAAAATGGAAAGTCGTAAAGATGAATTTGATGCGTTTCGCGCCTTTGGGCGTGCGAGATGGATATACAATCCATTTTGATTTCTACAAACCCTTCTACACATGTGGTTGTTGTTGTTGCGGTCGTTCAGGCCATCACATGACAATATTTTAGACCACGCGAAATCATACACGCTAAGTCAATGTATGGAACATGCCATGTGCTTGAATCATTCTGGCAGGCCATCCCTATTGGGTTGGAGGCCATCGCTATTGGAAACAAAGAAAAAGAAAAGGAAGCAAGGTCATTCTTGATCACTATAATTACAGCAATGGCAGGAAAGTCAAGTACATCAGGACCCAGCCACGGCCCTTTCTCTATAGTTTTTCCTGTCGGGTTTCTTTTGGCTCTCACATGGCTTCCCTCCAGCTCCTTAGGCCTGGATTTGCAGATATTCGGGTGCCATTCCTTGCGGGACTGACACAGTGCTTGGCCGTTGGGGTTCGGACCTTCTTGATGCTAAAGCCCCAGCAGTAGCAGCGGACATGGTCTTGGCCCAATCAGTTGGATACTTCTTTCCTACCAAGTCTCTTGCTTCATTCACATGTTTGCATGATGGATTTTGATTGTTTCCAACAATACCCATGACTCTTATCATGTGAATATATATGATGACACAACGGAGTCAAGAAGAACGGATCTCCAATGGTTCTGGCCACTAGTCGTACCTCTTGGTACAGTGGAAAGATGCCACGAAGCCACCATTTTACATTGGGGACCACTGGATCCAACCTATTTGTTTCGTCTTACGCAGACTGCGCTGGCTGGACAACCTCCAAGTTGAGCGAGCCCGAGCCATCCGACGTGACCGTGCCGTTCATCTAGCAGAAATGGTATGATGTGTTTCTATGTTTTACGTTAGTATTATCTTGCTATCGTTTTAAACCTTTAGAAATAAACATAGTAACGTAACGAACCTTTCTTTATATTTTATTATTGCCGTAAGAATCAACTTGAAGATTTAACAAAAAACAAGGTTTCCTTGTCGGGAACAAGGTGCTTCTGAGGTCGTTGGAATGTTAAGGAGCCCAGAAGGAAGCACGAGGTGCCAATTGTTTGCATGTTTTGCCCACTGATCTCACCCATCTCAGCTCCCGTCTCAGCTCCCGTTCTGCGGTTCGGCAGGTCTTCGACTTTTCGCGCTCGGGCTCGCATGGCGTGGGAAGGCGCCGAATCGCAGACGCCCGAGGTTTCTCGGTCGGTCCTGGTTTTGGTCAGGTTGATTCTAAGCCCTAAGACCCTAAGAGGATGCTTCATAAGATGCTGCAACAAAGCAGTAGTCCTCGGTCCTCGTCCTGGTGTTTTTCTCCAGTAGAAGTACTTCCTCCGGTAGAAGTACTACACAAGCGGAAACTGACCATGAAGTGAAGGTCCACATTCCACGGAAAACCCATCAGCCAGAGCAAAGAAGCAACATCAAGCAACGCAAGGAAATCACATACAAAGGAAACACATTCTCCAACTAGCCAGCCAACAACGGGACATCTGCCTGACATACTTCAGTAGACAACCATTGTCTTCCGAGACTGTCTCCCGTCCTGGGCCGGTGACCATGCTCTCAGACTTTGTTGGGGGGTCCTGCTCAGGGGCCAAGCTGCTCAATGTAATCGGCAGAATGTACCTGTACCCGGACCCTCCAGAGACACTTTTGTTCAAGTGGAGTAATTTGCGGGGTTCACCCACAAAAACGCGTTCAGGTGTATAATACGGACCCTGAAAAGATGTTTATGTTTTTGTTGTTGTTGCACGACCAAACACATGACACCAAAAATGAAGCAGAAGTGACCAAACACAAGGCACAAGTCACAACAATCGGCACACAAATTGCTGGTTGTCTTGCTATTAAACTTCGTTTGAACGTTGTGCTACCAGAAAAGATATCTCTATATATAATATAAGGTAATATCAATAAAACTCTATAAACATCATATATATATATACACAATGCTGTTTGTTTAACACCAGTCACCAGTCAGATACAGACAGAAAGGCTTCCTTCCAGCCTTCTGTTCATGTCAATCCTCGCGCATCTTCAAAGACACTGCCTGTGGATTCCACAACAGAAAAAACACACCAACACCAAAGAACAACAAGTTTGTTTCCACACTTCTGCTCCGCATTTCTCCTTGAGGTTTTTGCCTTTCGACGAGACCATCGAGCTAGCGAAGCGGTTTGATTTGCCGCTGGTGGCTTACGACTCTTGACCAAGCGCGAAAGATCGGTAGCAAGTCCGCGGGTGTGTGGGCTTCATTCTTGTGTTCAAGAGGAACGTGGTCATTGACCAATGGCTCTGTGAAGCGCAAGAGGCGAACATTTGGGAGTATGCCGACATCGGCATTCTACTCTCGAATGTTTTGCTGTTTCTAGTTCTAAGAAGTCCGGTTCAGGTATTTGGGGATAATGCCGTTTTTATAGTTGCTCGACCATTCTCAACAGAAGGCGCTCTGAACCACCGCGCAAAACCCACCGGAGCCGCCAAGTCCGCGCAGCGCACGTCGGGTGGCTCGGGTGAAGTCCGGCTCCGTGCGGGGTTGGAACAAAGGCGGAGCGAGCGGAACAGCGACTTGTCAACCATCATGTATAATTAACAATGAACCAGCTTTTCACTTTCAAAACGTTTTTCACAGGGGGGAGGGGCAGAATTGAGTGAAACAGCAGAAACAGAGAGAAGATTAATTTCCTTTAGACTTTAGACCACGCGACCTGACATGAGACGCCACAGCTGGGTAAGACGACTCCAGCGCTGGCCCCTGCTTGCTAGAAAGGTGTTACTTGGTCGTGCTCAATCATTCTCTCAGAGTCTATGTGGGTGTATTTGAATTGGGGCACACCCTGGCCCAATGGCTATAAAGACTGGTAGACAGGTCTGTTTTCCGAACCATCCAGGGGTCGTTCTTGCCTGGGAGGTCCCTATGAAAATACACATCTTATCATCGATCCTCAGGGCTGCAGGATCCAAACCTCTCGTGGTCCACCAGCAGCCGCACCCACCGAAAACAGCGCGACAGCGCACCCACTTCCGCACCCGCTGAGGAGTATCGGAAGAAGCTCACTGCGGAGGACGAGCGGACGTGTGCTCAAGGGAGCGGACATGTGTGTTCGACGTTTTCTCCTACGGATGTCCTACTATGCAGTTGTAGCTATTGTTGTAGCTATATAGTTGTAGGGGAGTGGATAGTGGCAGGTGTAGTATGGGTGTAGAAGGTGGCGCTGGAGGCAGGGGTGGGAGCATTGATGGGTTGTTGGACTGGTGGTGATCGAGATTAGAATCTAATCACATGTATATACTGTATACTAGGAAAAAATGAGATAGGAGTTGTAAAACGATTGTCAAAATCACAAAGTTCTATCTCATCATGTTCCTTTGGTGAGTGCTGCATCCTGAACGTACATGAGATAGGAGTTCCTGGCCAAACTCCCATCTCACTTTTGGCCACAAGTCCTATCTCATAAGTACCTAGTATATTAGTTCTTTTGCGCATGCAATCATGTTCAATTACACATGTTATGTTATATATATTAATATATATATATATACGTACTCTTCACATCTGTTCACAGATTCCAAAGCCATCTCGTTGGTACCTCGGATACCATTGATTCCGGACAATGACCATAACAGCTATTAGCTTTCGTGGAAACAACATTGTTCCAAAGAAGTAGCTTGAAGTAATAGCAGCGCTTTTGACCTCCGGCTTCACTCTTGGCACTCAGTGGATACCCAATTTGTTGTCTTTGTTGTGGCGAAGCAAGTGTTCACCGCTTGGTGAAGTGGGGTGTGAGTGCGAGAGTGTCCTTCAGTGCAGTGTCTCACAGACAAGTGTCCCTCAATTGGCGCCCATGGGGTTCATGTTCATCCCATTCTGATGTGGGGGAACATCCCAGCACGTCAGGAGCTTTGGGCTGACCTTGAGAAGGCTTCCAAGCGGCACTATGCCACGGCACCTGCCATGCTCGAAGGCACCAAGTCGGTCCCGGTGAGACGCTGTTTTGTTTGTTTGGAGTTGATGAGCACAAACAACGAACATGGTGGTTGGCTGGGAAGAAGAACATGGTAGCAATTACAGGAGTCTTAAGGAGTCTGAAAGAGTCGGAGTCAATGAGCAAGTCATTGCTACTGGTGACCTTTGTGAGCTTGCTTCACTCATGTCTCGAAAGCATTCTTTGATCATGATGTTCCATAGATTCCTGGTGAATTCAGGGGCCCCCAGACTCCAGACCATCAGCTCTTAGGCTCTTAGACCCCCCCCGCGGCCTCTTCCGCGACCCCCCTGGAGGCTTCGTGGTGCGCGAGGCGGGTGCCGGTGGCCGCATAGCCAAGGCGCGTGTGGAACAGCTCGAAGCGGCCGCGGCGGTTACGGCGGCGGCCGTGCAAGCGGACCCCAAGCCGAAGATGCGGAGCAAGACGAAGGCGGAAGCCAAGGCGCGGTGTTGGAAGAAGTGGTGCTGTTGCCTTCTAAAGCTGCTATAGGAGGGGCTGCTCTCTCTCTCTCTCTCTCTTTTGGGCCCTCGAGTGGCGCATGGGGTGCTTCGAAAGGCAGTTTGCCTGGGCTTTTGGCTTCTTTGTGATCTTGGTGGCGCCTGGGCTTTGAGATTCCCTTCAAAATGACCCTCCAGACGGGAAGAGCAAGCCAACTATAGACGGTGCCAACACAGCTGTTTGGGCTATCAAAGGTCGTCCTTTCAGTATTATATACGTACCTCTTGACGGGATGCTATATGGTCCGCCATCGTGGTTTTTCCATGGCCTTAGCAGATGGTGTTTGATCTCGATGGAGTGGCCCCGCCTCACCCAATTCTTTGCCAAGTCCTCCACTATACGTTTCGCAAGATGTTCTGCCCCCAATGGTATTCAGATGTTGGCAAGATGGCGGCTTGGGACCGGGATTTCGTGACCTCCCGAATACTCCCAAAGTCCCCGGTCTCGAGGAACGCCGGTCTACCCAGCGAACGGAGGCCCAGCCGGCCCAGCCCAATGCGCCCGGCGAGCAGCCATTGGCTAAGGCATGGCTTCATCTACACACTTAGGTTGAACTCTTATAATCAAGACATATCAAGAGATCAGAATCTCCTTTGAGGCATCTCGTGCTCTGACCACCTTTCATCATCCATCACATGGGAGCGTGTTCCCATCAGTCGGCTCCAGACCGCCTCCTGGTCCGTTCCGATCTTCACCGATGCTGAGCGGATGAGCAGGTGGGAGCTGAGCAGGTCGAGTCTTGTGGGTCGGTTTCTTCCGCTGGGGCGGAAGTGCTTGGAATTCAAACAGGAAGTGCTTGGAATAGGGCATGCGGCAGCATGCCACATCAAGCGAATTCCACTGGGTGACTAGCCACATGTACGTCTTCTTGTGCTGAACCCGAGAAACACATTTTTGGCGATCCATGTAGCTGGTAGCGATGCCGCACAAAGTCTCTTGGCATCGAAGATATGGGTGTAGAGTCTGGAAGAGTGTAAGATGGTGGACGTATTGTCGCTTTAACTTTAGCTGCATATCCACTCCTTGGTTTGATTTTGGGGTTCCCTCTATCCACTCGCCGTCATGTTTGATTTTCTGTGCGTGTATGGCGCTGTAGTGCTGTTTTGTTGGGAGTACTTCTTTTATCATTTTTATCAGTCTTCAAGAGGAGCAGGTTTGGTGTTTTTCGCCCATGGGACTCAGATCCGGACCGAGTTGGACACCTGTTGCGTCGCCGGCCCTGTTTCCGAGTGCGTTGTGAGCGGTGAGCGGTCCCATACAGCGGGCCCAATGGTTCATTCTTTTTGGACAAATCGATGAGAGTTGTATCAGTTATGCTCAAAGCATCTCAAAGCCCATTGAAATCGATCAAACTACAGTAGTTCATCCTAGGTACTTTGATCGTTTCGACTGCGAGGGTGCCCAACTGCCGGTGCTCTGTGGGTTGTTCAAGAACTCCGCGCGCAGCCAGCTGGGCTCGATCCAGTCAGCTGTGAATGGTGTGATTTATTGAGATCCTGAAGGAGCCGATGCTGGGTTCAGCTGCTTCCTAACGAGCTAAAGAAGCCAGCGATCAGTGGAGGTTACAGTTACGGTTCTTGTGTCACCATGAAGTCTGAGAGATACGTACTCAGTTAGATCAGTATCCGAATCTGGTGATTTGGGTGCAAGTGAGGTCCCATTGGGACCTCTCGATGGTATCATGGTGAAATGACATTCAAACATATTAAAACTCAATATGTGCTTTTCTTACTGTAAGTTCCGTTTCGTTCTACCCACCCACTAGTCACTAAGCCACGTTTCACGTTCCAGTCATGACGCACTTTCCTGGTGGTCCACACAAACGCAATCAGCTCGGCTTGTTTGGTCCACATCTCCAAAATTTGGTCTCGGCCATGGGACTCTTAGACATACCATTTGGAACGCATCTCAGAACGCATGGCGTATGACTCACTGGCTACAGCAAGGGAACTCACCTGGTCAGAAGACAGTGTTTCAGAGAGCGTGTGGCAAGAGCTGGAGCAGAAGCATGGATGCAAGCAGCGTTTGGATTGATCCATTGATTGAATCTGACCAACATGGACAGTTGGCTTCTTCCCACTCAAGCCTGTCCTGTTTCAGCGTCAATTGGTTGGGTCCCCCGAGGCTAGCTGGATTGCAAGAAGCTCATTTGATTGGGGGAACCAAACATGTCAGAAGTTCATGAGCTCCCAAAATAGATGGAACCTGAAACAGTGACTCTCTTCCAACATGCATGTATTTAAATACATGTTAGAACCATTTCTGTCTCTATGAGGACCACTCTATCATGTATCTCGTTTCCGATTTGTTTGGGTATCATCAACCAAATGAAAAAGGTTGGGGGATGCTGTCAGTAGCTCCTACGGTGTGTTTTTGCTGCACGGGGAGTGTTTGGTCCCGGGGTGTGTGGCACCTCGAAGGAACAAAGTTTCACAAAGGACCAAAATTTCCTGACGATGATCATACGTTCATGTTCTTGTACAAAGAATTCCATAAGGCTCCTGGAATCCTCTATGGTCATTTTTGTGCGGTACGATGGTGAAGACACACCTCTCTTTGTGGGAACCCCGCCAGCTCACCACTGACGAGGGCTTGTTTAGTAGCCAGCGATAGACATGGACATTTAGTATTTTAACTGGTTACGGATATACTGCTATACTGGTTTGACATGAAACTCTCGAACTCCTCCACTGATGCAACTGGTGTGGCAATCAACTGGTATCACCCAGCATCGTCAGTGAAAGGGCTCCCTACAAGCTGACTGTGGTGATTTGTTCAAACACGATCTCCGCGCCATTGTCCTCTCCAAGGAAAGAGCTCTTGGGGCCCAAGACTAGGAGAATTGGGGGGGAGAGCGATCTCGCTGCACTGCTGCGCTCGTCTGGACCCACGGTCCTTGGACCCACACCTTGGCTGATGGGGAAGTGGTGAAACGGGTGATGCTTTTTTTTTTCACTGAAAGCTGGGACCCCAGTGTTCTCGGCTCTTTTCACACACGTCGCCGGGAAGAAAACATTTTCCTTTTAGTTAGATGGTTGATGTGAAGAAGCCCAAGCCACTGACACACTGTGAAGCACATTTGTTGGGCTTGGTGAATGGTGGGGCATGTCATGCGTCATTCCAGCCATAGTTTAGTGCCAAATCCACGTGAGAATGAACCTGAGACAGGACCCAGCATGCATTTGAGAGATGATGGCAATGCTTGAGGATCTTAACACCCCCCTATGATCACCATTCGTACTAGACATATACCCTAGTCATCCCTAGTCTGCTTTTGCTTTGACAGAATCCCTGGGAGTCTGAACATAGATCCTTCACAGTCCTTGATATACCTGGACGCATTTCAGGGCACCAGGGAATCTCTCGTAAAGTGAAAGTGGTCTTCACATCCCCAGAGACCTCAACTCACACTGCCCACACGTGCGGTCACAATTTCCCAGAAGTTCCATGGAGGGGGGGACGCTACTTGGGCCCTGGGTGCTAGAACAAACATCCTTTTGCCTGAATGGGTCGAAGCACAACAGTTCCGCAATAGAACCGTTGGTCTTTCAAGATGTATTATCGCACTTTGGATCATTTCTCAAGCGTTGTGTTTTGGCAGGAGGTGGTACCAGCACGTTTTGTTTGGTTACGTCGGCTGGCTTTGGGCCTTGGCAACCTTGTGTGTTTGCATCTACGCATTTGTGCACCCTCATGTGGGCATTGCTGCCCTTTTGGGTCCGAGACTTGGAATCAAAGCTATGTATTGGATTACATCCGAACCAGACTGGTGGCTCACCAACCAGAGTGGTTTGTAGAGAGGTTTTTCCCAAAAACGTTTTGGGGATTTGACAGACATGATGCAAGAACAACTTGCGTTTTTGCCTTGGAGGTTTTTTGGGGGGGCAGGTGGGGTGGACTCCTGGGCTTGACTCAAAACCGGCGATCGACCCGACACACTGGTAGCACTGAATTCAGACCTGGAGGCCGGGTACGACCAGGTGCCAAGGGTACGACCTGGGTCGTTCACCATGTTTCAACGCATGTCTGGTGGCCATCAGACTGATCGGGCCCAAGGATACCTTGGATTGTTGCTGTCGAATCCTATAGGTCCTAATAAACTAATAACATATTCAAGGATGTCAAGGATACTTATAAGTAATTAAGTTGTGTGTTTTCCTTGAACATCAAGAACTTACTAAGTATCCTGGAAGGGAGAACTTTGCTTCAAGTAAGTTCGCTTAGGCACCCTCGTGGACAATCAAGATTGAAGCAAATCCAAGCGAACTTCCCAGAATCACATGGGGGTCCTTCCAAGCAAACTGCCCGCGCCAGGGAACTCACGTTCCTGCCCAGGAAGGGTGCCCGTGCTGCTCCAGCGATGGCCTTCTTAGCCACAGTATGTGCGATCAGCGGGACGTCTGCGGCTGCCTCGTTGCTACAGAGCGAGGTCTTTGGGGAGTTGCTGGAGCGCTACCAGAGAGGTGGGCAGAAGTCGATGGGTGGGCAAGAGGTTCAGTTCGGTCTCGGTTTGTCGCCTCGGTTCGGTTCTGCGGAACATTGAAACGGCAATGACAGTATATCAGTATATATCAATGTATAACAACATATGAAAGTTAGTGGTTTTCGCTTCCAGCGTGAAAAGATGAGGCCTCCAGAGCGTCCCTTTCTGTAATTTTATCATAATTAGTCTATATCAAAGGAGTATACCGCTCACAAAGAGCATCCAAGGAGCGGGGCATGGCCAGGCTTCAATGTTGTTGCCTTTGTTGAGAGCATATTACTTACATACTTAGAGCAGCTGCCAGTTGGACATCCCAATGTCTTCCTCGATGGACGAGTAATCGAGGCGGTGTACCGCAAGACTGGCAAGCACACCGCTTCGACTGTCAGTGTGAATCCATGATGCATTTGGCCAAGAAGCTTTTGGGCTATGGAATTCTTTTGGGTATTCCACTCAGCCCAGCCTTCTCATCAGATGCAATCTACCTTCTTGCATGGCTGTTGCTGGGCTTGATCGACTTCTGTCAAGTGTTTTTTCTTTTACTCCTTCACTCTCACTTACTAACATGGAAGTGGAGACCCTGTTTCCCTGTTTGCAGTCTTTGTAGTAGGTGCAAGAGACAAATTGCAAACGATGATGAGGTTGCTGGTCGTCCTGATTGCATTTTACTTCCCTGGCTACCATGATATTCTGACAGTCGTAGTGAAATTGTGCCGAAATCTTGTGGAGCAGATTATGAAAGAAATCCGAGATGGTCCTGAGCTCTGGACTGGCAAGGGACAGTTCTGGCAGGAAATGACTGAGAAGCACCAGCGGATGGATGGTATTTCGGCAAAGAAGTTAGGTGATTCCAAGCTCTGCATGTAAGAGACCACAGATGCACCAATCACAGTAGTGCCGCACTTGGCCCTTTGCTGCATCAATGAACCAGTTTTAGGTGGAATGGAAACCCTTGCACATCCTTATGCAATATTTATGTAGGTTGTGGGGAGCGGTCAGGAACTCTCTCTCTCTCTCTACATATGCCGCTCTCTCTCTCTCTATATATATTCACCTGTTCAATAGTGCAATAAAGGCAAGGCATGTATTCATACCCCAGTCATTCATTCATCCCACTTCGGTGTTCTATGTATACTTCTCAGGATGTGGTTGGAGCCCTGGGGATTGAGAGAACATTGCTTCTTCCCACAAAGGACTTAGTAGTAGCCGGTGGGGCTTGACGATCTTGTAGTCGGCCCCAAACAAGAGGGAGGGTGGACTCTCTTTAGAATACTATATCATATATCAGGATTGGACAGGACGGATGTCTACGAGTTTCAGTTCTACTTCCTTCAAGATGTTGCTTTCCGGAGTTCATCCAACTGAGGTATACTTGAGGATACTTGGGCGCTTGCAGCGTGGGTTGTGCTACCTCGTTTGGCGGCCTTGCTTATTTTTGGTCTAACGGGTTTGGTGGCTTGCTTGTCTGCAGTGGTGACCAGCCAGAACGGACTGATCGCGTTTGCAGGCCTACTCCTGATTTGTGTCATCGTGCTAAGTATTGCTGAACGCTTGATGGAGATGGCCTCCATTACACAGTTGCCAGGCTATGCTGAACAACAACTTTGGGCATTTTCCACCTGAACTCCCTCACGCAATAGAAGACTCTCTTGGTTTGATAGAATCAATCTAAGAGTGGAGGGTGTCACTGATCCCCAAGTTAGGAATCGGGAAATCATTATTCTAGGAATAGTAGGATTGAGTTCCAATCTTCAAAACTTGAACTCTGTATCAATTGTTCCAGTCCTCCCCCAACAATTGTTTGCGCATGTTTCACATCGTGTGATTTCCTTTGGTTTGTGGGGACACTCGCCGGAGTAGCTCCAAAAGATAGGGTGAATAAGGACAGTTCTGCTATGTTCTCCATAATCTCCGGTGTGCGTGTGTGCAATTCCAACCTTCCGTCTTCTCGGGGCAACAGCAAAAATAAGAGATGGTCATCCCCAGAAGGACTCCTCATCACCTCACCTGGCTCCGACAAAGTCTTCTGAGAGGTCCAAGAGGTGGTTACAACATGTTGGGCGAAGGGGGGGGATTGCCCGGCAACCCACATTCATGGCGCCACTACATTGATGCTGGACAAATTGAGAAAGAACAGACAATGGAATGGTGACATTTATCCGGACCGCGCGACTTCGTGAAAACACTTTGGTGGAGCAGCAAGAAGTTTGTCCATGTCGGAACGACTGCTAGAAGTGTCTTCATTCTTGTTTGGTGCTTTGCATATCGAACAAAGTTTCACCTAAACCCTGACGAACCTCCTGATCCCCGCCACACGACATGGGCAAAAACGTGTTTTTTCACCAAAAGAAGAACTTGACAGTGACATATGAAAGACGTGAAAAAGATGCTAAGGGTATGATGATGTCGTGAAGTTGGGCAATCCTTCCCGTTGACCCAACACGTTGCAAAATTGGCTAACACCACAGTGGTTGCAAGGTCAGATGTACATTGGCTAGAAGGTATCACTACCTATTGGTTCATATACAAAATGCTTTCCATCTTAGGATGTGCATGACTCCGAAGTCCAAGACTCCTGGAATCCGGTCCTATGCCATTGCGAAGTCCGGACCTAGCCCATGCAGTGAGTCTGGCCTGAAGAATGCTGGCTATTCCAACTTTGGAGACTCACTTGGCTGATGAAACTGGAGAAACTGTTTGGATCTGTTGGGTATTTCATCGCCATAGGATGAAGTTTTGTGTCCAAACTTTTGGACAACTGGTTACTGATGTTACTGTATCAGTTGCATGAGGAGCCCGCCTTGTGTTTTTTGAATAGTTGGTGGTAGAGATCACTTAAGACTTCTCGGAACTAGTGGCAACCCCAGCCTTGAGGCAGGGCTGCGCATCAAGTAAGGAGAGGAGCGCGCAGATCATGCCCGGTTTCTCACCTATCTCACCATCAACCGGACAGGTGAACAGTGTCCAATATGTTGTGCTATCTCGATTAACTTAACATGCGGCATTAGATGTTGCTTCGGTGTCTCTTTTGAGTCTTGCTTTCTTGCCGGGACTCCAAGATTAGTTAGTCAAGTCTGCAACAACTATTTTACACTCTTGTTAATGGACTTTTGTGATAGGTGTATAGCGTATCATCTCTACGTACAAACAGTTTTGAAAGACAAACGTAACCCGACCAAACAGAACAACTTATTGTTGTGAGTCGTGAACCACAAAACTACTGAAGTCAGTCTAAAACAGGACTCCGTTAGTAACTACCCTCAAACAACAGCAACTGCACGATGGCAGAGAAACGGAAGGAAGGCATTCTTAGTTGCTTGCATCTTGACATAGGATTTCAAGTGTTTTATGTGCATGTTTTGCTTTCAACAGACAATCACACCTGAAATCGACCCTGACAGGTGTAGAAATGTTTGGCGTGCTCATTGATGCACAGCTCATCGCCCGATACCTCTTCCAAGCAACCACCATGTTTTTGGCACTCTTCTCCTACATGCTGGCCAACCTGGATATTAAGCAGAAAGACTTGATGGGCCACGTTTACAAGACTGGTTGCTACTTCTCACAGATGTTTCACTTCAAGGGTGAGAACTGCTAAGGGTGAGAGTTCTGCATCGCAACAGCTGCATGAGACTGCCAAAAAGGGTGCCGCTGAGCTCGCTGCAAGAACAGAGGTGCTTTTCGTGTCATGACATTGGAGAGAATTGCCGGCAATGCATCACTGGTTCATCTCTTTCTGATGGAAAAAGGTGACAAAGGCATTTTGAGCAATGATATAAACGCGCAATTATGTTTAGTCTGTGACTTACCCTAACGTTTTGCTGAAGCAGTTTTTACAATTTACGATCTTGTCGGAGTTAGTTATTAGGTATACATGTGCATCAATCTTGCGAGGAACGATACCCTGGAACGATACCACTCCCTTCAACAATGTATAAGATGGCACGTTCAGGGTTCCCAAACTGTAGCTTACAGAGAGAGACAGCCAATGTCGGGGCAAAAAGATGTCGCTCAATCCTTTTGTGCCCTAGGTGGCGTTTCCATATCATGTTTATACTTGCTGGTGGTGTCATTTTCATATTCTTAAACCCGCGTCTGGAACGATACGGAAACGATACCCGGAACAATACCTCACACGTCCATTTCCCAACACTTACCTACACGACTCCCACAGTACCCCAGAACATTGCTTCCCACTCTCTCTTTTCCCAGATAGCAAAAGCAGTTGGGGCTCTTGCTTCAAGTGTAGGAAGAGGTCCTGTCTGCGCTTTGGAGCCTGGGTGCTGGTGCTGCTGCAGGGTGCCGCTGCTAGATGTGTATGGTCGTGTGCACTTTCGAGCCTGCGCTGCAGGGTGCTTGTGCCAGATATGTATGGCCGTGTGCGCTTTGGAGCCTGCGTGCTGGTGCTGCTGCAGGGTGCCGCACTAGCTCTGGGCCTACTTCTTGAGAAGGGTGGCTTGGTTCTGGGCTTTGGGATTGGGAGTTGGAATCGCAAGTGGGAGCCACAAGAGGCGGCCAGCATGGAATAGCGTAGATTCGAGACAGGGTAGACCAAATCAACCTGGGGTTTTCGTTCTTGCTCATTTATTGGTGAGGGCTCATACCTTGCTTCAATGAAACGAAATGACTGCAGTGCCCGTTGGTATGTACCAACTTGGAGGCTGAGCCTTGAGGTCTTTTACCTCAACCAAACCCGAAGGGTCCGCCGGTGACGCGCTTCCGAACACGGTCGCCAGACGAACTCCACCACGCTTTTCGTGTGGAAAACGAACACGGAAAGGACCCACGAATGGTCCGAGGGGCGAAATAGATTCAGATAGAAGGATATAGATATTATAAATAATAGACGTATAAAAAGAGGGGTAAGTCAAAACTATATTGCACTACAAGACAAGATACCTTGTGGTGATGTCCAAAGTTGAACAACTGGAGGCCCAACAGAGCCTCGACCTGATGTTGTCTCCAATCCCCAACTCTCCAATTGAGCTCAGATTGAACCAATCCAGTACGAGATTGTCTCATTATGTTCTTTACTCATTCCACAAGTGTTACGCCCTCCCAACAAGTGATATTCACATTGACAAAGCCCTCCGCCCCGGCAGGGCAACACATTTTCCTAACAAAGAGGACTTTTCCTACCCGGGACGGCTGATGGTGTCTGCTTGTGTTTACAGGAGGATAGGGTACTGTAGTCTCTAAAATTCTAGACATTTTGTTTCCAATGCTTTTGGAGGAGAACAGTTCTCTTTGATAAATAAATATCTGGCAAAGCCGGCTGTACGTAGTGACCCACCCAAAGTTGAGATCCACACAGCTTTGGAAATCATACAGCTTGAGGGGCAACAACACAACTCTTGGATGTCGTTTTTCTGTGAAGGATTTTCGCGTTTTTGTGCTTGGGCACCTTGAAAACAGCGCCCAATTAAAAAGCACTCGCCGCCAGGGTTCAGCCCAAGAGTAGAGGAGAAAAGGGCCCTACTCTTGGTTTTCAGATGACAAGCCAGTCGCAAAGCTTGTGAGCTGAGAAGTCCACCACCTCGTGGATGTACCCATGTGAAACTTGTAGAAACAAAATACATCAAAATACCCAGCAATCTCACAGGAAACCAGCAATCAAGGCAACCTGGGTTGAACAAGGGTCCGGCCAGAGACCCTCAAGCTGGAAACCATTTGTTTTGCTTCCTGGTGAGGAGTCCCGGGGTAAGTCCCGGACATGATATCAATGAGTTGGGAAAACACGCTGAAACGACTACGATGACTACATGTGGTTTTTGTTGAATGGGATTTGGCATCCCAAAGCCTACGCCTACGCAATCTACAGTCAATTGAATTCTTCAATCGTTAGCATGAGTCAACATGTCATACCCATGCAGCACTGCATTCAAAAAAGAGCAGCATGCGTCTCCAGCCACAGAGCAATTCGCAGCTGGGAGCCCGAAGGTTCTCTCCTTTGCCGAATTTCCTTAATCTTATTGCGCCATGGCCTATGATCCACTGCCACAAGCAGAGAGTGGAGTGTTGGATGAGCTCAGCGTGTGGCAAGAGCTGGAAGAGAATCCTGGCGCCAATCATGGACTTTCCTGATTGCCCACCCCATGATCTTCCCTCCCTGGAGGCCCTGGAACTCGGGTTTCGTGGAGTGAAGTTCAACCCTGGAAGCTTAGGGAAATCCGGATGATGGTCATCGGAACCATGCCATGTACCCGTGGAACGTTCCAGGGTGATCCAGTCCCTGGATTCGTCGTCCCAGTTTTTGGAGTGATTTTTGGGGGGGTGCAGCTGGCAGGAGCCGGCAGGAAGGGCGCAAGAACTGGCTGATTTGGAGAATCCATGGAGGAAGATTTCAGAGTTTCAAGATGAATTTCGAGGTGACTGGAAAGCATGTAAAACATATTAATTAAAGCATGATAAAGCATGTACTAAATGTGTCAGAAATCAATGACGCTTGAGCCAGGTACCTGGGAGTTGTCCAGATGGGGATGAACATCCAGAAAATCCCAATACCTATATATATATATCCCCCGAAGACAGAAGACACGCGTTTTTGTTCACCTGGCCACGGAGCATTTCGCCCAGGAAGGAGCTTTTGGGTCCAAGCACCAGGACCTGCCGAGACACTGGTGGATCGTGCGGATCGGGCGCAGGCCGCTGCGCAGTAGGGAGAAGGCTCCATGAAGATGGAAACAAGAGTCAGCAGGGTTCAGCTGTTTGACATGGTTTGACTCACCAGATGGGCTGCAGTTTTTGGAATCATATCGATGAGATGGAGTTTGGGGGGTAAGAAGTTCTAATGACCTTCATGGCTGGCCAGTGTGCCAACCCCCCCATGGGCCGTCTCGCGTCGCGGTCCTACATGGGCCGTAGGGGTCCTGCCGCATGGCTCGGACCGCAGTCCAACATAGGCGGGATCAAGGCGGTGCTCCTTCTCAAACTGGAACAGACATACATAGCAAGGCAAAAGGAGAAACTAAGCAAAAGGGTATATACTCATGACCCATGGTAATCACCAAACCCCTCCATGCTGCCGCAGCAGGTGTTTCTTTTTTCTAGGATCAAGTAGGCGAGCTCCCAACAGCGATGATTCGCACTATGGGACGCTATTTGCCCATATAAGCTCATTCCCATCGGGTTTCCAGGAGGTGGCTCCAGCACTTTTGCTTTTCTTGCTGGGGATGGCTTTGGGCGGTTTGCACTCTGGCCGTTTGTGGCTACAGCATGTTGCGCCCCAATGAGGGTCTTGCTGCCCTCATGGGACAGACGCTTTATTCAAGCACTGGAATCACTTTTTCTTTTTGCAACTACTATGGTGGCCTACCCAGGAAAAGTCGATAGCATGCAAAACCTTTTTGGGAGGAGCTTGTCCTATTTCCCAGACTGAGTGTGTGTTCCCATGTGTTCCCCAAATTCTGGTATTACCTGTGAGCCTCCAAGCGGAATGACAACGGAGGAACTGTCTGGTAAATGTTGCAATAGACCTGGTTTTTCTTTCAAACTTTTAATGTGTTTCTTGAACAGCTGGTTGATGGAGAATCCCTGCCTAAAGTGGATCATGGGGATGCGGTTTCGCCCAAACAAAATCCCTACAGGAAAGCGACTTGCCTAGCAGCGGCTATGTCTGGAATCGCCACCATGTGTACTATGATCTCCACATCTGGTGCTCTTTCACTGCTGACGAGTGAGGTCTTCAGAAAACTGTTGAACAGATCCTTGCTTGGCCATTGGGCACTTTATGACTCCTACAAGGGGCAACATGTGTGTTTTTGTCACAGTAAGGTGAGTTCGGAAACATTCGAAGGTTCCCTTTATAATCGAATCAGAGGATTACAGTGGAACTCCCGGGGAGGAGTTCCCACCAAAGTAAATTACTTTAAACCATATAAATTATGTGTATATAGGTAGTTTGAGCATCCGCTTGAATTCTTGTGGGAAAGAGTCAGGTTGACTGCTCAGATTTGGAGGGAAACTGTTGCCTAACATTTGAGATGCTCCTGAAGTATTGCCACACAACATCCAAAGCACCACCTTACACTTTACTACACTGCAGACACCGCACTCACCACATCGTCACAGGTTCCCTTTCGCGCCAGACATCTCGGCGCGACTTCACCCTACAACAGATCATCAGGTTGCTAACAAGTTTGGGTAAATCTTTCATTTCCAGAACTCCCACCTCAGGGCTTTCAGAGATTATCATGATATTGACATGTGTTTGAGGAAGGTCATTTGCCACGTAAGGACACAAACAAGCTGCCTTTGCGTTTCAAAAGAATGATCAATTCGAGTGTGAGTTGGTGCCCATGCTTTATTTGGCAAGAAAGCTGCTTGTATTTGCACTTTTGATGGGTATTCCGCTCAGCCGTGCCTTTTCCGATGCCCTGTACTTTCTTGCATGGCTGCTGCCTAGATGTGACATTAACAAGGTTCGTCCAGCTTTGTTTATTTTTCACATGTTTGGGACACCCAGTTCAATGCGCAACTGCTGTGTACTTCAGTTTTTGTCGCGCCTGGTGTTTCTCATATGAGCTCGATATCCGGATTCGAGAACCACATGAAATGTGCCCTGAGAACCCACAGAACAGAGCAGCACAGGCTATTGATTGGTTTGATGATGTTCTATTATCCTGGTGCCATCATCATCCGGCGTGTTGTGGGAGATTTGAGCCTTGGCTATCCGAAAAGGATCTCTAATGTATCAGACCGATTGCTGTCAATGAAACATGATGTCAGTGGCAGCCGCAAAATCCTTTTGGAGTCTAGAAAAAGCGGCTGAGACATGTGAGGAGCCGCTCTTTGGTCGAAGACCTGATGAAAGACATTAGAGATGGCATAGAGGTCTACAAGGGCAGCGGACAGTTCTGGCAAGCGATGACGGAGAAACACAAACAGATGGACCGCACTTTGGCTGCATTATATATATATATCGGAAATGGACAACTTGCAGCTGCTGGTGGCACCCTCAAATTGAATATTGGAACCGTTTATATTTTATATAGCTGCTATCATTTTTATCTAACTATTGAACATCACTTTTGAGGTATAAATTCCACATATATGTATATATACACTGTATGTATATATATATGGAATCCGTTTTGATAGAACATCCCGTTTGAAACCACTTGGATTGTTCAATGTGTGTTTCATTTTCCCCAGGTTTCAGAGCCATTCCAAGCCTAGGAATGCTTGAACAGACCTGGGCACTCGCAAAGTGGATGATTGTACCACATATGATCGCCATGCTGATGATTGCGATCATTGGCTTGGTGGCCTGCTTGTCTGCTGTGGTCACCAGTCAGAATGGCCTCACCGCGTGTTGCGGCTTGTGCAGTATATGCCTCATGGTGGTTTTGATGTCCAGCCGATTGTGGGAGCTGGCTAGCATCACCCAGTTGCCAGGATGTGCAAAATTGGATTTGTCCTCGAGTCCAAGAAGGGGAATATGTTGCATGTGTTTAGACACATATTCCTCTTGGCGTTTGGCCTCCTTTTGTTTGGGACACACTCACCTAAAAGGTGGTATACAGTATACAGTTCAAAAATAGTAAAATATTGAATACAACTTGGGGAGTCTCTCTTGAGCACGGCTAAAAGGATGTGTCATTTGGACCAGACACAAACGTAAATGCACATACATGGTAGTAATAGATGTAGCTCAAATGCCAAGGGACTCATTCATACCACTCTTGCAGCTATTGGAGGATGTGTATGATGTGTGACTGGTGGGAAACGAGTGACGCGAACTTACCCTAGGGAGTGACCAGAAAGGATGTGCCCTACGTGCATCCAAACTCAGGATGTGTATGTCCACCACCACAGAGACTTCCAGCATTTTGTCGCATGCAATTGCCAAGTCTGGCACAAGTCCTTGCAGCCAAACCAGTCTGAAGACAGCGGGTTACTCAAGCTTTGCAGAAGAGCGTGCAGACCATTCGCGCTTTCTGACCTATTTGATGGTGAATCGAACAGGCAATTGATACAAAACGCACATTTCCAATTGGGTTTGGTTGCAGATAAGGCCCAGGAGTTTCGGGTCTATAGACAAATTTCATGTTCGAAGAGGATGTGACAGAGCGTGAAACATGACAGGTGTCCATATGGGTGTATTGAAATCAGAAGACCTCTGAAAGAATCCTGGGAAGAGGAGGAAGAGAAACCAAACTCAGTAGTTGATAGGTCTCCATATTCTGATCCACACCCATGGAGAGAAAACATTCAGGGCTTTTGGACCACAGAGCTTTGGATGTTTCTTTGTGTTTCTTCTTTTGAACACACTCTGGGAGTGAGTGGTTGTTTTTTGGACCAAAACACATATTTTGGATTCAAACTAAGGGTTCTGACAATATATTAGCGACGGACAAAATTATTGGTTGACTTATTTAGTCACGGCATGACCCTAAACCTATGTTGAGGGCTTTGTTTCTGTGGAAAACGATATGGTCCCCACCAAAAACGATAATATTGTTAAGATGTAGTGGGTACAAAGATGTTTGTACCAGATGTTAATGCATTCGCATGTTTATTTGAGCATATTTGAGCTAAACCGATGGGCACAACTTTTCATCAATGATAATCCCAGACAACTTTCCAAACGATAACCCAAACGATAAGCGAACGATAACCTAAATGTCACGCCAGGCACTCCGTAACGTAGACCTACTTCTCCACATTACTAGTGTTGGTCCGAGCTACTAGGTCCCCGCTTATTTGTTGTGATCCTTGCGCAGCCCGGTGCCACAAGAACCCAAGTGCTTAAATCAAGTGCTGTGCCATTCCTGTGCAGAAAGCACTGTAAGCCTCTAATCTGAGGTTGTGAGTTATATCTTTTGTTTTAGCCTATGTGCTGGTATGCTATGCTAACTACGGTTTGGAGAAACATTGGAGAACGATATGGACCCCACCAAAAACGATAATAATGTCAAATGGTATTGCCTACACAAGTATATAATATTGTTTGCTGCTTATATATATATATACATATTGTATAATTAAATCATCTTAAATCTCCACATATATATATTAACTTATCTCCATGATCATCTGACATTATATATAGTGGACTTCAAAGTCCATTGAATACGCCCCCGCCACTGCATCACTGCAACGCAGGCGTGGAGATGTTTGGGGTGCTCATCGACTCGCAGTTGATCACCCGCTTTTTGGCACAGGCCACGACCGGCTTTGTAGCACTCTTGTCGTACATGCTGGCCAACCTGGATATTCGCAAGGAGGAGCTCTGCATGTGGGATTTGGAAATGATGGTCTGATGGACAAAGGATAGAGTTTTTTGTTGTACTACTAGTAGCAAGAAGCCAGCGCGCTACTAGGGTGGAGGCCCTAGTTGGCCTAGTAACAAGAAGCGAACGTGAAGTGCAACGTGGTGATGTGATTGGGCTGTGATTTTGGAAACAAAATGTATGTTCTTCTTGTTCCAACCCTCGTTTCGTGCCAGCTGGTCATGTCCAAAAGAGTGTTAAGGGCCCTTCCGTGAGTGAGGGAAATCCCTTGTCTAGGCTTGTTTCTTTCATGTTTGGCTTCCTGGTTTTGGTCCAAGCCTGGCTTTGGGATTCTTTTTGCTTCAAAACTCCTACCAACTCCTGGAACACTGCAACAACGCCTCGGGTTGGCAGAGGTCACTCGCCGCAAGCATCCTCAAGTGATTCGGATCTAAAGGGGCATGCCGCCCGAAACCAAAGGGTTCTTAAAACAGAGACTGCCAGGCACTTGACTCAAGCACATACATCTCATATCAAGCTTAAACACATATGTTTTTCCGGGGAACACTAAGTCCCCGGTGGCCTTGGAGGATTTGGTGGCACACTTGGATGAGACAGGCCGCTACTTCTCCAAGATGATTCACCTTCAATAGCCTTTGAGCCACTGGGCTTCAGCGGGGTGGACTACTTCTTCAAGTGGCCGCTATTTTTCGTCCCGGATGACTGCTGGAAAGGCAAGCTCGAAAAGAGCGGGTGTTAACGATGCATAGCAGCAGATGGTGTCAAACAGGGCTCCATATTATAATACTAGTACTGTGTTTGTTTCCTATGCTTTACCAGATATGAATTTGGGCTCGGTGACTGTCTATAGTTTTGTGTGAGCCTGGTCATGCTGATCAGATCCAGGAAATTGCTCATCAGCCTGGTCATGCCCCCTCATGAAAAACGTGCAATTTGATGGATGGATGGTACTCATTGCTTAACGGTCCACTGGGTTGACACGACGTAGGCATGTCGATTGTTGGGAGCGGCGCAAGACCAAAAGACCAACCGTTACCTGCGAGTTTTGTGTATGACATTGGAGGACCTGCTAGATAGGTAGATAGGTTACAAAAACTGCTAGGGTGACCTGTGTTACCTGCGGGTTGGTCCATTGAATGACCTGCCCAACCTTTTTTGGAGATTAGGGATGGATCAACCTGCTAGACGACTCACCTGGATGTGTCAGGGGAAACCCTCCGCTTTTTCGGGAGTCAGAAGAGGAAACGCATGTGGTCTTATGGGGTGGCCACCCATGGGGTCAGTGACCATCAAGGTGTACAAACCGTCTTGCAATGTTGGGGGGTTCAGAGCAACGCTGGAGTGAAGAAGGATTCTTCCCCCTGAGAAGGGAAGCGCCTGGCGTGTTTTTCTCAAATTCACTTGGCTTGTGTGGTTGCCACCTCGCACTGATGTTTGGGCATGTTGAGGCCTACATATAATGTGTTTCTTGATATCGTCGAGGCAGGATACATGAAATCCCTGAAGACTAGTTGTGGAGTTTGTTTCTTACAAAACATATCTCTATGCCCACACATACGAGCACAGCTTTCCAAAGCTGCCTCTACGCATATGACGCGTGCACCTTAAGTCACATCACCGTTCCCAGTTCCAATTCATATGGCCGTGACAGAGACCATTCATGATATTTCCGAAACACCCCAAGCAATGATTTTGAAGATGGCTTTTAGGCTGCTCTTCAGTGAACTCTTCAACCCCCATGGAAGCTTGCTGTGCCTTGCTCCGAGCCGGTTGTAGCCTGAGGCTGTGCAATCTTGAGGCCAAGAGTGAATCACCAAATCAGTCTAGAGTCTACAGGGACATGGAGGTTCCGGTCTCTACACTTTAGCAATCTTTAGCACAATTTGCCGGGAATCACGATTGGGGGGGTCTATATATCTATACGTGAATTTTCACAGTGATTTTGAGGGTTCTGAGTTCTGAGTTTCAAACGGTTTCTGGGGTTGGTCATCCACCTACAACCAGACGTCAACTGGGTCAACCCAGTAAGTTATACACCAAAGTTTCCTACAGATTGTGATGAACATCAACGGAGGTCAACATTTTTTCAACTAGGATGTGAAAAAGTGTCTCCAACATTCGACGATTCCAATCTATTGAAGCGTACGACGATTCCCAGGTTATTCCTTGTAATGGCCAAATTGAAAGTGCATCCATTCACTTCCAAAGCCTTGTAGACGTTCGTTTTCCCTGAGCCTGTAGACTCTGAGGATGTCACATAAACGACCGAGAGAGTCAGAAGCCAAGACTTGTCGAACTCCCCCGAGAGAGTCAGAAACCGGGTTCATCCGCTCGTTACGTGCGCCATGGCCGCCTTTGATCAGCTGCCCCAAGCGGCTTCGGATGACTCTTCGGATGTCCAAGAGAGTGTGTGGCAAGAGTTGGAAGAGAATCTGGGATGTGAATTAGACCTAGTGGATCCAGTTGCTGATGTTCCAGGGCAAACTAGATGTCTTTGGACTCAGTGGAACCGGAATCCTGGATGTGAATCACATGTCCCAATGGATCCGGAATCCATTCGAGATCGATTCGGGATTCTTGGATCCGGGTGAGAAGAAGCTCTATATATACAGCCTACATTCTATGGCGGAAAGTCATCATAGGCTCAAGAACATCGTAGAAAATTCAGGGTATGATGGAGCCGGCTCGTGAAACAGGGTGGGCTCGGTTCCTACATGTTCCTACCACCCTTCCCGATGTGGGCTAGTGGGTGGGCCAGTGGAGCCCCTAGGATTTTTCACCGAGGCGTTTCAGCTCGTGGAACGACGGCCGTTTCGAACGAAGCGCTGAGCACAGGAAGCAACTCTTGGGGCCGAAGACGAGGACTGGGGTGGGTGGGTCGAAACGCGGGATGCGGGGGGGGAGGACGGGTTTTTAGAAAGATTTTGCCGGCGGATAGTAGATATTATATATATATACACGGAACTAATGGAACAACACTGACACCGTCTACCCAGGAAAAGTTGGATAGCCTTTGAGCTTCTTTCTCGGGGGCGATAGTAGGGGACACCCCACTCAACAAGAACAGGTAGAACAGGGAAGAAAGATTCCCAGACACTGACTGCCATATTTGCCTACATTGGGGTCGTTTCAGGGGTCAATGTAAGTAAATATTCCACACATATAGTGGGATTGGTAAAGGCTGTTGTTTGAGTCAGTATGTATGAGGACGAGACATCCATTGGTCACCACCACTCACGACGTGAGTAGTGTGGGTGAGTCATATGTATCCTAGCTCCTATATTTGGATCATCTCAAGGTCTTCAAACATTGTTTTACTCAAATTTCTGGCTTCAACTAAGACAACAACTACAATTGTTTTGCAGGTATTGGTGGTCTTTTTGGGAAGTCGTTCAAATCTGGAGTGTTTTGTTTGCTCAGTCAGTTGGAGTTGGCACCCTGTGGCCAAAAGAGTTCTGCTTTCACAACAATTGCAGGGGCTGCAATAGGTACGAAGATTTTGATCAGGAATCAAATTCCTCGGCAAAAGAGTTCCTAGGCGATTTGTGTGTGTGTTTTTGTTTGTGGTCACAAGGGATGGTCATTGGATGGGCGTCCCACGATTCCTTAAGAGTCCTTAAGACATCGTCGCATCGTTGCTGAGGGTCCACTCTTTGTCCCTGGCATGGCGTCGCATCGTTGCTGATATGCATTATCTTAAATGTTGAATATGATAAACAAGCCTATGCACAAGAGACAATCGGACACCGTGGATTTTCCAATACAACATCTGATAGTCATTTTATATATTAGTTTTTTGTAGTAGTGTTTTGTTTAAACTGTTTGCAGTGTACAATCATAGTCATAATAACCTATTGGTCCAGATGTTCTTTTGTGGTTTACCTGGAGTTCAAGTTGGATTTGGCAAGCAGGTGGTGGGTCCAGCACTTCTGCTCCGCTCGCCCTGGGTCACTTTGGGCTTTGGCCACATTGGCTTTATGCATCTATGCGGTGGTGCGGCCAAACGAAGACATGTCCAACGTCCTGGGAAGGACTCCTGTGTGGAAGTTCCTTTTTGGACACCATTGGATGGAGAGTTCGGAGATTTCTTGCGAGGAAACACATGTTCAGACCCAAGCGATGAATGCTCATTCCATTTCATTCCAATTTGTCCTGTTTGGGATGTGTTTCGAGATTCCACACTGTTCTGGAAGAGCAAATGGATTTCTATACCATGGGGTCCATAGGGTCACACCATTCATGTGGAATTCCCCTCCGAGACGCAGATGCAGGAAAGTGATTCGCGTGGCAGCTGCTATGGGAGGCTTGGCCACAGCATCGGCCATGTTTGCCAGCAGTGGTACTGCTTCATTCTTGCAGAGCGAGGCTTTCAGGGAGCTGTTGAGCTACGAATCATTTCTGCATATATTTACCACCGATCGCCATTCCCTCATACCCCTGAGCCAACCGAATCGCCAAGGCCAAGCACCGAGAAGACCAAGAGTCCTGACGTGGGGATAATGTCCGCGCTTAAGTAGTAAACAAGTCCTCCCACCCCGTGACTATTTCTATATTTGGTATTGAACTTAATTTTAGAACCTTTTCACTATTGGACCATGGTGTTCCTTCACCATACTTGACGTGGTTTCGCAGCTCAGGAACAAGGTGACGACAGCCCTTCCGACTGGCGAAGCCATCGTTTCGACACAGTAGCCAGGTTGCACCTGCTGAGGAGAAGGGTTGCATTTGTTGATTCAATCCATGTCAGAATGGTTTCTCACCTGCCAGGCCAACATCTCACTCCCAAGGCCAACAAACTTCGAATGGCTGTCATAAAGCCAGCTGCAAGGATTTGCAAAGTAACTCTGAAAACCGCTCGTTTCTTGGTTTTGTGAGGACATGTTTCAAGTGTTCGCCGGTCATAGTTTAACGGGTTGACGGGTCAACGAATGCCGCTAGGAGGCTTTGCACGAATGGCATTCTTGTGGGTCTTCCACTCAGCCCAGCCTTCTTATCAGATCCCATCTATGTTCTGGCATGGCTGTTGCTGAGCTCAGACTGAGGCTTTTGTTTGGAATTCTCTCCCCTGGGTTTGTGACGATAATCTCACGGTCCTGCCGTGCTGGAATTGGAGATTCCTGAGGTCGATCTAGTTAAACTGGTACCGGCACAGGAACCCTAAGCTGCACTGTGGTCAAGATCTATCATGCGATGCTGCGAGTTGTGTTTGATGACTTACATATTTGGTAGTCGTAATTTGTCAATTGTTTTGCTTGATGACTTACACAAGTTGTGTTTGTTCGCGTAGCCTTGCATGAATCCTTAGCAAATACTCCCTTTGTCTACTCGTGTGGCATGCATTTAATTTGCACGTGATTTGCACCGTAAAGGAATATCACAGTTGTGCAAGATTACGCACGTCGTTATATGGTTCTTCCTTTGTTTTATCCTTTTTTGCTTCCTAGTTATGCTTGTATCACGATGAATTGTGGCTCGACAACATGGCATTTTCTGATGAATTCTGATTGCTGTGCTGTTGCTTACCTTTTGGACCTCCAGATGTTTCATAATTGCTTTAGTGGAGCACACGTTTGCCATTTGGGAACAGACTTTCTGTGGGCTCCCTGAATGCACATGCGTGACAGGGCTGAGGGCGTCTATTGGTCCCAGGTGTCCAAAACTAACTAATTAGTTTGGATTCCTACACTGTCAGTTATTTTCAAGAGGGTGGGTGTTTCTTAGTGAGTGCTTGATCTTGTTCTTTACAGTTTTTTTTGGCTGTGTTTTTTGCTGTTGTTGTTTCTTGTTGCTTTTGGATGCTTTTGGTGTTTACCTTTGTTTTTTTGGTTTTTAACTCGGCTCGTTTGTTTTTTTGTTGCTTTGGTCGCTTTACTGCTTTTCTGCTCTTGCTGCTTCTGTTGCTTTTTGTTGCTGCTTGGGACCTCTACTGTGCTGCGTTTGTTGCTGTTCGACCTACTGTGTGGTGCACTACTGCGCAACTTGCACACACTCATATTAATATTTCATACATATATAGTCTATTGTAGTAATATTAAAACTACACACATTGGGCAGAGAGGCTTCAGTACACTTTGCAATTGTGCATGTCATGGTTGTTTTCCGGTGTTGGTGGAAAAAAACATTACCCGAGGGTAACATTTACAGGAACAAGGTGCCATTCCAATGTATACATGATTGTGTGTGTGCGCCGGTGAATCGCAGCGTGGGCAAGTGATTCATGCGTGCGCACGTGAGTTGCGTGCCAACTGCAACAAACACCACCAAAGTTGATTTAGAAACGAAAAACACATGACCGGCAAGACACAAGCAGCCGCACACAGAAACACCCAAGCACGAGAAGCAACGGTTTTAAAATCTCGACCACGCTCCACTGCGCTGCACCGGTCACCAATGCAAAATTTGCACCACTTCTTCCGAAGTACTTTGCCAGCTACGACAGCTGTTTCTCTTGAGTGTCAGCCCTGCTGCCCAAACTGGTTCTTTTTCTCCGCCTTGCAGACGCAGTGCATTTCCTTTTTGAGGGCACAAGAAAACAGCAACGAATTGTGAGCCCCCAGGTTTGAAATACTCCCGAATTAAAGGCGCACCCTTTTCAAGAAGATGTGACAAGTTCAGAGGCTCTTGCTGGGCTTTGTGGTGTTTTACCTTCCTGGCTTGTCGATTGTGCGGGTGTTGGTGTCACGCTTGAGCCGCTCTCTCGTGGAGCAAATGATGAACAACATCGAAGCTGGTCCAGAGTCATGGAAGGGCACTGGACAGTTCTGGCAAGTGATGACCCAGAAGCACCAACAGATGGATCGTGCTTGGGTCTCTAGTGTGTGGTGGGGTGGATCAGGAGGGCACAGGAATTCATTTAGTAGAGCTTAAGTCGTCTACTTGCGGGGTGAAAGGCGATAGGCCATTCATGTCCTGTTCTTTACTATCTTGTTTGTTTAAATATACGTGTTTTCTTTTTTTGGGGGTTCCCTTTGGACTGTGCCTTTTGACTGTGCAGGTATGCTCGAAAGAGCCTGGGCGCTCGCGATGTGGTTTTTCTTGCCATCTTTAGCCAACAATGTGATTTTTGGTGTGATTGGTTTGGTGGTGTGCTTATCTGCGGTGATCACCAGTCAGAATGCCTTGGTTGCCTTTACTGGTTTGTTCGTGATTTGCTTAAACGTATTCAACTTCGCAGAACGTCTCAAGGACATGGCCAACATTACCCAGTCGCCAGGCGATGTTTTGGACAGTTTGAGGGCTTTGTTGATGAACCCAGGATTGCTTAAGGTTTTTGGATGTGTCCCCGGTTGGAATGAGTTCGAGCACAGTGTTGGATGAGTTGTTTCGGGGGACAATATTTAATATGTTCTGGCCAAGCCACCTGTTATATAAGAGTTTATTGTCACCCAAGATGAAACAATATCAAGGTTGAACATTTTGCCTTCAGGGAGGATGACAAGACACGTATATGTTTGCTCAGAACGGGTGCTGTGGGGGATGTGAATTTCACTCTCCACACCCCACACAACACTGAAAATACCGTGGTTTTGTACATGTAAACCTTCAAAACAATGTTCAGCAAGCGTTCTTGTCATGCAACCCGCTTCAGAAATTACAACGCAAACAATTCTTGGGAAGTCTTGGGGAGGGGGGGGGGTCCAGCCAAGAGTCATTGAGGATTGTTTTTGTGTTCAAGGGTTTTGTTTTCACTAACTCTGGCCCCCTCCTCCTTCCTTAACAGTCTCCAACTATTGTTGTGTTTTCCCCCCGAAGTCTTTTGTTCCAGAGATCTAGAGGAAAGCTTTTGACATGACAGCTATATATGAAGGATCCTATATTAGCATATCGACTTTTCCAGCGATTTATATGTTAAGAGATCATTGCTCTTGGGCTTAGAGATATAGAAGATTAACCTGTCTAAGCACAATGTGTGTTTTTTTCACTGTTCACCTATCTTGACAAATCTACAGTCCAGAGATCCAGGAAGAAAGCTGTGGACATGAGGGTTTTTACAAGGAGCTTTTCAATAAGTAATAATGGTTCCCAGAGATCTAGAGGAGCGTTTTGCAATGACTGCCTTTTTTCTAAGGCTTTTAATATGGAAGTGGTCATTCCCAGAGATCTAGAGGAAAGCTTTGGACATGAAAGCTTTTATATAAAGTTGTCTAAACAAGTTATCATCCCCAGAGATCTAGAGGAAAGCTTTGGAAAAGATAGTTTTTATATAATAACGCTTTTGAAATATAGA